TTCTCTCTTATAAGAACATCAGTTAGACTGGATTAAGATAGATCCTGTATGATATCATGCAAGCTGATAACATTTCCAAATAACCTATTTTATTTTAGATAATGTTCACAGGTTGGGGATGGTAGTTAGGCCTACAGCTCACCTTTCTGGGGGACACAATTCAACCTGTAATGTACAGAAATTAAAAAAAAAAAAAGGAAAACAAAATCCAAAATACCAAACTCACTTCTGTCAAGTTGATTCTGACTCATGGGAAGGCTCTGGAAGTTGGAAATCTTTATAGGACTGGAGTGCCACACCTTATCTAATGGAGTGGCTGGTGGGTCTGAGTCATCAATCTTTCGATCGGCAGCCTAGGTCCTCACTCACAGTGCCACCAGGGCTAGTAAAATAGAAAATAAAAGTGGTAAAACTGACTCAGCATATACTCAGGTTACCACCCCTCCCATACCAATAAGTCTTTATTCTTTGATATTTTCCTAGGGGGTAGGGGAGAAGGGAAAGAAAAAGAATCAGCATGTTTTATAAAATTACAACAAGGAGGGCATCTGGTGGCCTAGTGGCAAGAAGCTGTGCTAAAATTCCAAAGGCATGTGGTTCAAATCCACCAGATGCTCTGGTGGAGAAGGAGGAGCAATCTCCTCCTTTGTCAGTCAGATCTGACTCAACAGTACACAACAAGGAAAAAGAAAATTACAACAGGACAAGGAAGTACCCAATACAATAAAATCAACCAGCAAATAAAACATCCCAGTGACAGGCATCACCAAAGCCAAATGGGGTCAGCTTCCTGTAGTTCAGGTAAGAAAGAGGTGAAGGGACCAAGCGAAACAACAGACTGATAAACTTTCTTACCTTCTCTTACCATAAATTCAAGATTTCACACAAAGCGAGTGTTGGTTTCTAGCCATAAACATGGAGTTAGAATCATCCACCTCCTAGTAAACAATCGTGTGACCACTTTGACATGTTTCTTACACTTGCTTGAAAGTTCCTGAGTGACTTGGACATTCCTCCTTCCTTTCCTGGTCTCCCCACTTCCTCTATGGAAGTCCTCATTGTTTCTCTCTACCCAATGATTAGAGATTAAGTAGCTTTGATACATTCAAATACGATTAAATTTTGGCATAAATCGCATTAAAACCTGATCTCAACTAAAAAGGTTGTTCTTAGTATTTTCAGGTTTTTAAAACAAACTAGAAGAGTAGTAGAAATACTCCTCAAATTAAATGTATGGGCTTTAGGGTAAGCTAGGGAGAAAATGGAGACAGGGGAACACAAACACAAAAGAAAGGATGGTTCAAGGCCCCACTTCAAGATGGCTCCCCAGGCTTGTTTTAGTTTTTTGCCTGGTGTAGAACCTTCTGCTGAAGATGTTTTGGCTAGTTTTCTTTCAATACAAAAGAAGACTAAACAACAACAAAGTCACAAAAGAATGTGGATCAGTTTATTTTTTGAAAATGGTCTAGATTTTAATTTCTGTTATTTTTCTTTCCTATTTTCCTACTTCTCCTTCATCTTCAGAAACTGTAAGAATTAGAAGAAATTTTGATTAGTCAAATCTTAAGCCTGTATCATATTAAAGGTTTCAAAGACTACAAAAATGACAGATGGGTTTTTAAAAAACAAACAAACAAACTCACACACTTAATTACTACGATAATGTTTTGTAATTCTAAATCACACCCCAAACCCACTGTCATCAACATGATGATCACAATTCATAGTGATGCTCTATTACGTTTCAGAGGCTGTAAACGCTGTCGGAGGAGACTGTCCATCTTTCTGAACAGGAACTGAAGAGCAGTGTAGTCTGTATGGAGCTTTGCTACCAACCAAAGCCTGGGCCTCTCTGGCAGTTGGAATCCTCAGGAGAAATATGGGCAATTTCTTCCTGTGTAGTTTATAGCCTAAGTAAATCAATGGAGGATCAGTTAGAGTTGATTCTGACTCAATGACAATGATTTTTTTTTTAAATTTGATCTTTTAGTTAGAGGCCTGGTAACTTATGCATTACATCGCCAGGGCTCCTTATAAGACACTGTTGTTGTGTATCTTGAAGTCAAAACTGGCCCACAGCTGATCTCCAGTGGGTTTTCAAAGGCAGTGAATTGCATGGAAAGAAACTGCCTCTTTCTTCTGCAGAGCAGCTTGTGGATTTGAACTGTGTACCTTTGCATCGGCAGCGTGATTCCTTACCACTAAGCCACCAGAGCTCCCTAACAATACATAGTAAATCTGAATTTGTTAAATTAGCATTTCTTGATACAGTGAGAGGATATTAAATTTGTAGAGCATTTCTCATAATTATAAAAAATTATGTTACTTCTTAACGACGTATTCTGGTGGTATGCTTTTAAAAATTAGTTGGAAAGGAGAAAAACCAGTGCAGTTGCACTCTCTCTTTTCAAAAGGAAATGGATGAACCCATGGTGGTTCAGCAAACTAGGAGGGTTGGGTTGTCTCAGCTCTGACTCTTTATGAGGCATCATGCAGTCAGGTTAACTTCCTTACATACTTGTCGGGTTGAATGAGGGTAGAGGAAGGAGCCTGTTCTTCACTTATCCCTAATCCTTTGATGAAAGACTGCGAACTTCTGAAAAAAAAAATTACTAACAATGGAAATTAGTTTGAGATACTAACATGGTTTTTGACTAGGCTTTTATACTACTATAAAGTCTCTATTTTCTCATTTTTAAAACGGAACATGCTGACAATGAAAAATGCTGACAAAATGGAACAGCTGTAGTGAATATCATCCTGGAAAAATCTGTAACTCACTCCTAAAGACCCCCAAATCCCTTGTTTTCTTCCATTATTTATAGTGGCATAGTACAGAAGGAGGGGAATCTGGTGGTACGGTAATTATGAAGTTGTGCTACCAACCCAAAGGTACAAGATTCAAATCCACCAGCTGCTCCTTGGGGAAAAGATGGGTCATCTCCTCCTCAGTGATTTACTGCCTCTGAAACTGTGTGTCTTTCTTTCCTAAATTTGGTAGTCAGGAGTAGGAAACCCTCTTGGGGTTCTATGTTAAGTTTTGGACTGCTAAGTGAAGACTGGTAGGCCACTCTGCAGGAGAAGGACGAGGCAGTCTCTGCCAGTGAAAATTTAGTTCCGGAAATTGATGGAGGTTCACCATAAGCCAGAAGCCACTCCATGGCAGGTTTTGGTTTCAAAACTTTTCTCTTTTTAAAACTATAAATTAGGTGGGGGTCTTGGGTAGTGCAAAAGTTAAGTACTCTGCTACTAACTGGAGGCTATTTTCTCTAGCAGTCCAAATCCATCAGTGACTCTGGGAGAATCCCCACAGAGATTGTGGGCAATCTCCTTCCATGGAATTACAGACTCTGAAATCCATTAGAGGGTCAGCTATGAGTCAGTTCAAACACACCAGAGACACCTTGGAAGAAAGACCTTGTGATCTGCTTCAGAAAGGTCACAAGTATCAACTCTAACAAAAGGGGCTCTGAGAATCAACAACTTTCACCTGTTAGCTGCCCCCTCCCCCCAAGTAATAACACTTGACTAAGGGCTGTTGTGAGAACTATATGAAACTGAAACCAACTGTCTAGGCTTTTAGAAGTTGTAAATAGTATGGAAGGAGACTGCCTGGTGTTTTGTTTTGTTTTTTTCCTTGGAGCTGGGAGTGGACTTGAAACAACAGAGAGGCACTGCTTTTGGGTTAGATAAGAATCAAGTGGCTTCTGATTACACCATCAGAGTTCCCTAGTAAAGCTTTGTTGTTAATATGTGTATTCACAGCTAACCCTCCAGAGGGTTTTCAAGGGGCTTTGCATTGCATGGGAGGAGATTGTTCATCTTTCTCCTTTGGATAAACTGTTGGATCCAAACCAAGTTCCTTAGGGTTGGTAATGCAACTTCTCACTCCTAGGCCACCAGTAAAGAGTAAAAGCTTTTACTATTGTTATGAGTTGCCTATGACTCAGTGATGAAAAGAGATCTCAACTTTGTGCCATCCTCACAATAGCACATGCTCAAACTCATTGTGGTAGTCACTGTGTCCATTTATCTTGGTGGCAGTCTTCTCTTTCTCTGACCTCTATCTTTCCCAGGATGTCACCTTTCTGGCCCCTCCTGATAACTTGCCGAAAGATGTGGGACAAGTTTCAACATCCTTGACTCTAATAAGTATTCTACTTGCACTTCCTTCACGATAGACCTGTTGTTTTTTTTTTGACAGTCCATGCAGTACTCCTCAACACCACAACTCAAAGATTCAGGGTTTGGAAAACCGATGGAATGTCGCTATGAATTGGAATTAACACCACAGCAGAGATTTATTATCATTAAAGCACTTTGAAGTCAACATTTCACTGAAGTCTCTGTTAAGTCTCACAGAGCTGAAGAAGGGCGACTGTTGCAGGGGCTCAAACTATCCTGGGAAACTGGAAAAAAAAATTGCATCTGGTGCAATTTGTATTGTGCTGCAGAGATCACCACCAGTGGCGGAAGTGAGCCCCTAGCACTTTGGTGGCTGAATGTCCTTACCTCCCTACCTACCCCATTATGATGCTAGCCAGCGGCTAAATGGCCTAAACAATTCTGTAAAGGTTTTTGACGAAGTGTTAGCCCGTCCTGGACAACCATAAGTGGGTCCAGCGTGGCTGACATCAAAGCAATAGTGGATCGAGAAGCCCCACAGTCATGAGCCAGTCACAGGACTCGGGAGTGTTAAGTGCATCTCCCCTCACTGTAAGCACTGAGCAGCCCCACGAAGTTGGCGCAGTTCGCCTCTGCTTTCCTTAAGATGAGCTTGTTCAAGGTCACACCACCCAGAAGGATGCAGTCAGTCGGCCTCAAACCTGAGCAGCGCTCCCAGGGCCAACTTCACACCTCCTCCAGGAGAATGCCAAAGAAAGCCCGGGACTGAGGCTGCAAAGCGCCGACAGCACAGCCTGCAGCGGGCACATCCCCGAGGCCGAGCACCTGGAGAGCCCCCACTGGCCGCGCCCCCGCCCTAGCAGCTCCACCGCCGCATGGGCTCACGCGCCGGGGAGCAGACGCTGGCGAGAGGCGCGCGCACGGGCGAGACGGCAGCGCACGCGCAAGTGCGCTTGCCACACAGAAGACAAACGGCATGGAAAGTTCCAGAGGGTTCGAGAACCCTAGGCAGCCCCGGGGGCGGGGCAGTATGCCTTCCGCTTGCCATTTCCAGACGAGCCCACGGAGCCATCATCAGCCAGCAGCCCTTGGGTCGGGGGTCCCAGCGGGGGTCTGCGGAGCGCAGGACGCGGAGCTGTGGCGGGGGCGCGGCGAGGCGGCTTTATGAAGGGGGTGGGGCCGCCGTGGCCGTTGCCCGCGCGGGGGGCGTGGCTGCCGTCTGCGCAGCTGCTAGCGCCTTTAAGCCCAGGCTTGCGCGGCCACAGCGTGCTTTCGCCGTCCGGGAGCCCTTGAGCGTAAGAATCTGTCTTTTCTCCGCGCGTTTAGCGCCTTTTCTCTCCGCTGCGTCCCGGGAGCCGGCTCGGTCCGGAGCCGCGCGCTGTGCATTCGGGCATGCCCCGCTACGAGCTGGCTTTGATCCTGAAAGCCATGCAGCGGGTAAGTGACCTTCCCCTCAGAGCCCGCCT